AGTCACCGGACCCGAAACGTTAACTCTGTTTTCTCCTCCACAGATGCTGCCAGACCTGCTGAGCTTTTCCAGCAACTTTATTTTTGTTCCTGATTTACAGCATCCGCAGTTCTTTTGGTTTTTACGATTTCATATTTGTAAGTTCATGCTAACTCTGTTAGATCTTGCTACTCTTTTCCAAGTGGTCAGCTATTAAATCTTTTACAATGGACTGTAGTATTTTCTCCACTACCAATATCAGGGTAACTGGTCCATAATTCCCTGCTTTCTCTCTACCCTTTTTTAAATAGTGGGATTACATTAGCTACCCTCCAAACCATAAGAACTGTTCTAGAGACTAGGAATCTTGCACCGAGGCTTCCACTATTTTTAGAGCCATTTCCTTAACTACTCTGGGACCTACATATTCAGACCCTGGGATATTTATTTGCCTTTAATCCCATTAATTTCCCCTACAGCATTTTCCCATTAATATTGATTTCCTTCAGTTCTTCTCTCTCAATAGACCTTGTGTTCCCAACGTTCTTAGAAGGTTGAGTCTGTCTTCCTTTGTGAAAATTGTCATCTCTTCACACCCTCATTATAATTTCCCCTGTTTCTGACTGTAAGAGTCCTATATTTGCCTTCACTAATCTTTTTCTTTACGTACCTATCAGTTTTACGATCAGTTTTTATGTTCACCTCAAGCTTACTGTCATGGTGTATTTTAGTCTTTTAATCAATCCCTTTGTTCTCCTTTATTGAGATCTAAACTGATCCATCCCTCATGTCTTTTTCCAACAAATTTGTATCTGCCTTCCTTGGACCTAATGCTGTCGCTAATTTCCCTTGCTACAGTTGGGTCATCTTTCCTGTTTCATTTTTGTGCGAGACAGGAATGAACAATTGTTGCAGGAATTTATATGCACTCAGGAGAAATAATGAATTAGTAATGAAGTGTTGTAGATTTTGTGGACCTCAATAATCTGTCAGTGAAAGGTTGAGAACTCTATTTACATGAAGAAAAAACCTAATTATATATGACACTCTATAGCTGTTGTAATTTTGCAAAATCGCATTATGAACATTCACAAGAAGCAATCTAAATATAATGACAGAACAAATCACTGGAGACCTAGCTGGCTATTTCTAGCGTTGAAGCACTGCAAATTGACATTTAGTCGACGTTCATTTCTAGTCACATTTACTGCTTACTCCTTCTAGTTTCTGGATGTGTTAAATTGATACAATGAATCCTTTTCACTGTTGACTGCTCACAGATTTTCAGAGATTTTCAGGGAATTTTAACTTGACCCAACTGTTAGGAA